GTATAAAAATATATCGATATTTTTTAAAAACTCGATATATCGCCCAGCTCGAGCTCAGCTCCACAGTGCTGTGATGTTTGGAGGCTAATGAAGCTCTCTGTCTTGTAACAGCTACACAGCTGTGCTTAAACTAACATGAACACAAGGCAGGTGGAGGTGAAACATGATGGTCCTGATGGACTAAGACAAACTCCAACCAAGACGGGGTGTGAATCAATCATTAATCTGCAGCAGGTTAGAAAACAGAAACACTCATTTAGAGCTGGAAAGCCCCTCCCTGAGAAATCTGGTATTTACAGTCTGTGTGGATGTCAAAGCTTCTTTTCGCGCTGGTATCGATCCACCTGGCTTTAGTTCTTCTTTCTGCATCAGTTAGTGGAACAGAAACGGGCCTGAATGGGTTAAACTGAGCCAGGCTTTCCCGGCAGGAGCTCCCGGTCATTACGGGAAATAAGATGCAACAGGTTTCATGTAATGTGTCGCAACGCTGCAGGAAGCACATATTTGGCACCAAGCTGGTTAATTACAACAGCTGCTTCAGTGTCAGTGCTGCTGCTTTTCACTCACCTAAAAAAGATGAAGGCGTTCTGAAAGAACACAGCCAGCCCCGGAGCCACTTCTTTCTCTGAGGGAATACAGCGACATGTTATCAGCCACATCAGGTTTCACTGTGACTGAGCATGCTCAGAGAGAGCCAACTCCCTGCGCAGGTCTAAGGAAGTCAGATTAAAATCATTTGTTGTATTTTTAGACTCCACAGTGTAATAACCACAAGGCTTTTCTTCTGGTGCTCACACAGCAAGCGCAGCAGGGTGAAGACTGCAGCGTATGGACCTGCTGCAGGAGCAAAGCTGAATTTAAAATAAGACTCCCTGATCCATCATTTGGTTTCAGGATCAAATCCGACCAACTACCAGGTCTACGCTGCAACCTCAAACACCCTGCTGTGGTCACGTGTGAGAGGCCACAAACTGCACCCGCTGGAGGTGAAATGAACCGAGGGCTGTCCCTGAGTGCTACCTGCGCCTCAGTCACGAGAACAATGAGCAGTTTGAACCTTCTTGTGTGGTTTGTAGTGATTCACTGAGGTTTGCTTTCAGTTCGTGTGGATTTTTTCTGTGTGTGAAACGAGACCAAACCACAGGAAAAAGCTCAAAGTTTCCAAAATGGTCATGTGATTCAGAGCAGAAGAAAACACCATGAAGCAGCTGTGGCCAGCAGTGACTTTGAGCTCCAAACCATAACATACTCTCTGACTTTGTCCAGGCTGAGCTGTTATTAACTTAAAGATATAACTTCTGGTTTTCCCTCCAGCCTTCTGATCATTTCCAGGTTTGCATGTTTGGATGTTCAGCAAAGACACACTGAGGGTGAAACTCACTCGGCACTACGTAGCCTCCAAACAGGATCCAGATGGAGCCGATGAGCGAGCCGAACATCATCATGAAGCCAATGAAGAGCCAGAGACGAGCTCCTGCAATCGCAGACACATGCAGTACAATTACATATGAGCAGTGCTGTGTCTGCTGTGTTTGTCCATCCTGACAGCTGTGCAAAGGGCAGGATTCACACCGCCGTCAGATATACGTTTTTTAAAATATCATTTTAGCTTTTATTGGATAGATACAGCGAAGAGAGACAGGAAAGCAGGGGGAGAGAGGGACGACACGTAACAAAGGGTCAGACTCGAACCCACGCCGGCATGTGGTCTGTGCACCCACTGAGCTACACCACATTATAGTCTCTTTACAGCCACACAGACAGCTGAGGCTCTGCACTTTACTCTTAACATCTGCCTCACGTGTGCGTTTCTCACACCTGAGCTCCACAGCAGGTGACAAACACTCACCTGTCCGGCCCATACAGCCTTCTCCGTACGTGTCCCCTCTCACCTGGCCGTTGGAAACTGCATTAATCCTGAGAACACAGAGTCACATAGAGGAGTCTGAGCGCTTCATGCTGCTGACACTGCAGACATAAACAGGAAATGATCACATGATGTTTCAGAGTCTCAATCAGACACTCTGCTTTGTTTTTGACCTTTGTTGATTCACATTTGACTGCAGCATCAGTTTCCAAGCACACCGTGAAATCTGGCAGGTTTGTAACTTCCTCGGAGTCTGAGGTCAAACCTGTCTGACACCAGCTCAGCTCGTTAACAGCATCGAGGTCAGAGTAACAACAGACTGAATAATTCTGCAGTTTGGCTGCTCTCCTGTCACATCGTGAAAGGTTTTGGTTCCTCTTTGGTGAAAGAAGAGTTCTAAGTAATTAGGAGGTCACAATTTGTCCTTTCAAAGCCTCGCTGAGATGTTTAAGCTGAAATTACATTTCACTGCAGGAGGAAACCATATAAAGTACACAATCATTAGTGGCTGCTTGGCTGTGAGGCACATGAACAAACCCAAGCAAATCTTACATGTGTTTTCATGTGGATAACTCTCCCCCACCCACCCGCCCGCACCTCAATGGTCTAACAACTCTGAAAGCATGTACGGTATGAAAGCAAAGTTTCACACTTACATGAAGAAAGCGATGGTGGAAAAGACGCCACAGGTGTGGAAGGCGTGGTTCATCTGCTCCTGGGTTGGATACGCCACAGCGGCGTCGATCATGATCCACCAGCCGGTGAAGAACTAAAAGAAGAGAACGTGCACAGCGAGACGTGACGTTTCTAAAGGTTTTACTTCCTGTCCATCCTTAGCAGACATCCGTGCTGTCACTAATGTCTGAGTGTTTACAGATGATGGGGTGGCTGCAGCTCAGCTCATCTGGCTGCTCCAGTCTGCATACCAAATATCCTTGGAAAGATACTAAACCTCACTGCTCTCCGATGGATGAATGTGTGTGAATGTTGGATAGAAAGCAAAGCAAAAAGTGTTTGTGTGAATGAGGCTTTGATTGATCAGATGTAAAAATCAGTCCATTTGCCGTTTACCAACAACTAACACACATCAGACTATCACAGCAAACTTCTGGATTATTAACAGTGATGTTTGAGGTAAACACAGATTATGGCATTGTTCTGGGACAAACAAGAAACAGATCACTGAGACGCGTGAAGCGGAATATTTACAGCTCCAATAAGACCTCCACCATTCACCAACCTCCCCGCAGCGAACATTTATCTTATTGGAGAGTTCA